ACCATAATCTGATGTCATTCAATATTCAGTTACTCCAATTCTCATCATCATTTTATGCCCATCCAGTGATCTAATATATAGTGATAGCTCACATATACTGAATATTTACAAATTCTCCAACACTCATTTGCACATGTTACATATACTATCTCATTTAATCTTCACAGGAAGCCTATGAGATAGGAACCTTTGCTATCTCCATTGTACATAAAAACACAAAGTAAGTAATTTGCCTAATGAGAGAACTGGGATCCAGATCCAGGCAATCCACTGCAAGATTATTTTTTTCTGGAATAACTTTTCTGTACTACCTGGTTTCTCATGTAAATTTGCATTATAGGGAAAGAGTACATTAATCCCATATTCTTTTGATTATGTTTTATCCTGTGGCAGTGATTTCCTAATGGTGAATAATAAAGTGACTTCTGATGGAATCCTTGGTTGGGATTTCCCAGTTCTTTTTTGGCTGCCTTGGTGAGAGAGCTTTGCAAAGTTAGAGTCCTGGTGCTAATCTCCCAGAGATTCAGATTTAATTGGTCTCAGATGTGGTCCACAAATTTGTTTAAAAAAAAATCTCACTGGTGATTGCAGTGATTTGAGAACTGCTTTTTTATAAAACATACATTTTTATTGAAGAATAATTGACATACAATATTGTATTAGTTTCAGGTTATACAACATAGTGTTTGATATTTATATACATTACAAAATGGCCACCACAATAAGCCCAGTTACCATCTGTCACCATATAAAGTTGTTACAATAATATTGACTATACTCCTGCCATGTCTTATTTATTTTATAACTGGAAGATTACACTTCTTAATCCCCTTCACGTAGTTCATCCATCCCCCTCCTCCTTCCCCTCTGGCAACTATCAGTTTGTTCTACAACTATGAGTCTGTTTGTTTTGTTTATTCCTTTTTCTTTTTAGATTCTACATATAAGTGAAGTCATATGGTATTTGTTTTTGTCTTATTTCACATAACCCTGTAGGTCCATCAGTGTTGTTGTAAAGGGCAAGACTTCATTCTTTTTTGCGGATGAGTAATGTTCTATTTTGTGTGAGACCCACTGCTTTAGATGACACAGTGACTCTTACTGTGTATTAATTTGTGCAACAACCTAGTTCAAATATAAGAAGTGGTCAAAGGAAAGATTTTGCTTGGTAAGCTTTAGGCAGAAGCTTAAATGCTGTTTGCGATGGGCTAAATATAAGCATCAATTAAAAATACGAAATCTTAATGCCAGGGACCAAGTGTTATTAATGTTAAGACGTGTTGCATAGTGGTATGGATTTTAGGTCTGGAGCTGCATAGCCTGAGGATGGATATTGCATCTACTACACAGTTGGCCAGCTGTGGGCAGCCTGCTTAGGCTCTCTACTACTGGATTTCTCATTTGCCAAAGGGGGTAGTAGAAGTTCATCCTATAATCCACACAAAGACTTGAGCCCAGAGCCTGATATTTGGTTAGGGCTCAGTAAATGTTAGCACTTGTTGCTATTTAAGTGTTTTTCCAACTAGGGATATCTTTGGTGAGCCTAACTCCATTTTTGACCAGGTATTTCTTGTGGCTACAGCATGTGTCTGTTGGGTAGCTGGTGAGAGTGAAAATGCTAGTTGGTCTCCATACATAGCCTTAACCACAATCGGGAACTTTTTTCAACATCTTTCTTGGTCATTTGAGTTAACCTGTAGAGCAGTTTCTGTACCAAGAAAGCTTGCTATTAAACCTTTAAGATATTTTCAAAATTTATTTTCCAGTTAGTATAAATAATTATAAACTAAGAATCAAAAGTCAGTTTTATAATGATGGGTTTTTTAAGTGTCTAAGGGAAAAGAAAATCCTCCTTTTACTCTTTTCAGTTTCACTGAAATTCTAGCCTGGGTTTTTTTTTTTTGTTTGTTTGTTTTTTAGCCTGGGTTTTCTCAGGCTCCAATTCATTTTAGGTTGCGTTTTACTTACTTAATAGCTTTTAAAAGTATGTGGGAAATGTATTTTCTAGAGTTTTTTTTTTTTTGAAAGGAATAAATAAGCTGCTTAAAGGGACTATTTTGTGCAAAATATTTAGCTTAAAAGATCTGATTCTATAAACAGACATTTTTAAGGTTCCCAAATTAAGATGTAGGGCATTCTTTTTCTATGTATTATAGGCCTATAGAAATAAAATTAGAAGAAAATGTATCACTTATGCATGCATTAGTTAAGAAAATAGACCTTTGATTCAAACCCCAGCTTTTCCCACTTACTCTATGATTTTTGGCAAATTACTAAAGTTATTCTCAGTTTCTTCAGCTGTAAGAGACCTAATATTACCTAATAGGTTTGTAATGAGGATTAAATTGTTAAATGGCATTGAATTAAATAAATGTTGAAGCATCAGGGTGGTGCCTGATACAGCTGGTATTTTTACATAACATTCTTTTCCTTTGTAAAGTTCAAAAATCTTTAAAATTTGAAATAAAATTTGTGATTCAAGTCTCTGTGCTGCCATTCATCAGAGTAGGCAGGTAACCTAGCCTGTGGAAACCTCTTCTTCATATTCAGGAGTAGAAAAGTAGCATATCTCAGATGTTGTGAAAAACAGATTCATCTCCTGATGGGGCTTTCTGGATCCCTCTAAAACAGCACTCATTCAGTAGAAATAAAATATGAGCCACTGGTGTAGTTTTAAATTATCCAGCAGCCACATTTTAAAACAAGAAACAAATGAAATGAATTTTGATATATTTTAGTGAATTCAGAATGTCTAACATACCATTTCAACATGTGATTTAGTGCTCAGCCACATGTGGCTAAGTGGCTGCCATATTGGACAGTCCAGATCTAGATACAGATTAATATTCTCCATAAGCATCCTTGGGCACTGGTGCTGGCTTCACCTTAAGCAGTGAACACAGCCTTATTCTTGAAACTGTATGCATGCCTGGGTGAATAAGCCTTACATTTCGTCCTTTAGCTGCCTAGATTAGTATCTTAGCCTCTGGAAAGACAGGCTTCTACCCTTAGCCTTTTGGCTGACCTAGAGGACTTGCTCTGGGCATGTCACGTGCCTTTATTTGGGCCAAGGCTGATAGACAGCCAGGAATTCCTGAATGCTTTGAGTATGATAAACCTTTTGAACCACAAAGATCAGAGCTCCAGGGTCAGATCAGAGATTCAGGATAGGATCAGGCTTTGTAATACTCTTCATTCTTGCCTCTTATCTGTCCTTTTTTGGCCTTCTTTCCCAAATTTCAGAGACTTATCTAGTGTCCCTGAGAAAAAAGCAAATACCAACAATCTTTTAAAAGAATTTAGTTTCTGTTCTCCACTTCAGTGTGGCTTACCAAGAAAGTCCTCCCTTCCCAAACAGTAACTTTTGAAAAGTCATTTAGAACCTTTTTGGGCCAAGAGATTTGGAAGACAGATGAAGTATTCATATCTAAGCCCTTTTATGTTTTTAAGGTTTTCTGATACCATCTTTCGTCCAAATTTAGAGAGAATTTTGGTGAAGGGGTACTGTCCTTAAAGCTGTATGTAATGGTAAAAAGGTAGAAAAATGGGATTCAGGTGTATTTATCAAAAACAAAAACAAAAGCAAATCTGCTCATACGTCCTACCCTGGCCACTCTAAAACTGCCAATGCTTTAACACTCTATCTACCTTTTTTGTGTGTGCGTGAATATCATGTGTTACTAAAATTCTTGTTTGCCTTTCCAAATAGAAGTTCCATAAAAGTATGGACTTTGTTTGCCTTTACATCTGCAGCTCCTAGTACAGTGCATGGCATTCAGTGTCTTTTGAATCAATGCATAAGTGAAAGGAAATACCAAGATACTATTCTGTATATGTACTAATGACTTTAAAATCAGGTACCGAGTAGAATTCTTCCTTGACCATGGTTAACTCTAACCAGTGTATATGTTATGCTTGAATTTTCAGACCTAATCTCAGTGGGAGAAGTCTAGTTTTTACTTTTGATCAATTGTTTAGATAAACTTTTTTACTTCTTTTGGAGAGTGTGGGGCATGAGGAGGGGAAAAGGAAGTAGTTTGTAGGGGAGTTACGGGAGTTGATCCTAACAGGTAGCAGGTGAAAATTTCAGATTATACAGAATAGCAGGTGAAAATTTCAGATTATACAGAGTATAATAAAATAGAGGGGGGGTATTGGCATAGGAAATTAGATAAAAAATTCTTTATAGTTCAGGTGTTGTAAAAATGTTTAAGGTTTTTGGGCAAGACATTTGACATAGGAGATAATAAAAACCTAGGGAAAAGGTGAGAGAGATTCACAGCCAGAAAGTTTCCCCTACTGGGGGAAATGTAGGCCATATGGGCTAGTGGCCAAGATCCACAAATTATATTTCTGTTATCTTTGTTTAGAATGTTTATTTAAAATCTTACCCTAGTCAGTTTCTCAGTGGTTCTTCACTTTACCTCTCATGCCTTTGTATGAGCTTGATGCTGCTACCCATACTTTGTGCTCTGTGGAATTATGGTATTTGTGAGCACAGACTGATCATGCTCTGCAAAAGCCAGAAGTTTCATTGTAACTCCTCATTTGTCCCAGGAGCACCTTGCCAAAAGAAAGTAATCCAAACATGTTGAACACTCTCAAGTTTTATTAGGAACTATTTATGTCGCATTCAAAAGAAGTCATTACAGGCTTACTAAGTTTATACCTTTCTTTGTACTTCTTTAAATGAGAACTGTTGTTTTATATAAATGCACCAGCTTTTTCCATAGTAATATGAACAAATTATTTGGTTTGTGAATATATTTAAGAAAGCAATTAGCGGAGTAACATATACTTTTTATATCATTCACTATAAGCTTTGTTTCAGTTGGGTCTTTTTTTTTTTTTTTTTACACTGTTAGAATTTTAAGGTTTTATAAAGTTTGGTTAAAGAATACTATTCTACCTATAATAGGCAATTCTTAAGGACTATTTTTAATTACATTTAGTTTAAGTTCACATGATGCATTTTAATCTAACATCTTCTTTCTTCTTAGTCTGTAAGACTTGTATTGTACAGCACTTTGAAGATAGCAATGACTGTCCAAGGTGTGGCATCCAAGTCCATGAGACAAATCCATTAGAAATGTTGAGGTAAGTAAATGTATTTTATAGTTCATCTAACTTAAATTATATGAACTCTTAATATGTTTTATTATGCATCAAAATATTTGTTAGCACCTTGACTCAGTTAATACAGGTTTTATGAAGTTTTTTATTTTCACTTTAAAGCATTTTATTAATAGAAATTTAAAAATAAGTCTGTAGATGTTAAACATTAAATATTTAAGAAATTTATTTCCAAATTTAAAATTATAGCTTTATCTCAGAGCTACTTTAGTTGCAATTATTTTAGGTATTTTAACATTTGACACATAACAGTGCTTTCATGGAACAACATGGCAGTAGAAGGAGAGGACAGGCCTAACAGTAAGGGAGGCTGACCTTGGTACTATTAATTTTTTCTTATATCAAAAGAGTATATAAACATTTATGTAAAACTTAAAGAATTTTTTTAAAATAACTACCATTCACTTAAGTGTAATTCTGTACTTTTAAAGTTAGAAGTAGTCAGATAAAGGGTTAGTTTCCAAGATCTATAAAGAACTTATTAAACTCAACAGCAAAGAAACAAACAATCCAATCATGAAATGGACAAAAGACATGAACAGAAATCTCACAGAGGAAGACATAGACATGGCCAACACGCACATGAGAAAATGCTCCGCATCACTTGCCATCAGGGAAATACAAATCAAAACCACAATGAGATACCACCTCACACCAGTGAGAATGGGGAAAATTAACAAGGCAGGAAACCACAAATGCTGGAGAGGATGTGGAGAAAGGGGAACCCTCTTGCACTGTTGGTGGGAATGTGAACTGGTGCAGCCACTCTGGAAAACTGTGTGGAGGTTCCTCAAAGAGTTAAAAATAGATCTGCCCTATGACCCAGCAATTGCACTGCTGGAGATTTACCCCAAAGATGCAGATGCAGTGAAACGCCGGGACACCTGCACCCCGATGTTTCTAGCAGCCATGTCCACAATAGCCAAACTGTGTAAGGAGCCTCGGTGTCCATCGAAAGATGAATGGATAAAAAAGATGGGGTTTATGTATACAATGGAATATTCCTCAGCCTTTAGAAACAACAAGTACCCACCATTTGCTTCAACGTGGATGGAACTGGAGGGTATTATACTGAGTGAAATAAGTCAATCGGAGAAGGACAAACATTATATGGTCTAATTCATTTGGAGAATATAAAAAATAGTGAAAGGGAATAAAGGGGAAAGGAGAAAAATGAGTGGGAAATATCAGAAAAGGAGACAGAACATGAGAGACTCCTAACTCTGGGAAATGAACTAGGGTTGGTGGAAGGGGAGGTGGGCAGGAAGTGGGGGTGACTGGGTGATAGGCACTGAGTGGGGCACTTGATGGGATGAGCACTGGGTGTTATTCTATATGTTGGCAAATTGAACACCAATAAAAAATAAATTTATAAGAAAATAAAAAATAAAAAAATAAAGTTAGAAGTAGTCTGTCACCTCCTAATCTAAACCCTTTTTCTCCAGATTAGGAAACTGAAATTTATAGAAGTGACACAGCTTTGCTTAGAACTTTAACACACACATGTCATTTTGCAGCTACAAGCCAGATATCCTTACCAGTAAACCCATTTTCTTCCTACTTTTCCTATCAGAGCTCCACCACCAATCAACTGTGTGGTCTTAGGGAAGTACATATCTAAAAACAACTAGATAGTCTCTAGATAGCCTCTATGTAACCCTCATAATCTGTGTAATGTTTGCCATCATTCTATAAATCTGGATTTGCAAGTCTTACATTTCAGACATTTTTATTTTAATTTTAGTGCCTGTCATTGTAGTAATTTTTCTGTAGGTAAATGTCAAGCCCAGTGATTTTCAAAGTGTGGTCCCTGAACCAATAGTATCTTGTTAGAAATGACAATTCTTGACCCCACCTCAGATCTGCTGATTGAGGAACATGAGAGTGGAGCCCATCTTAGTCAGCAAGCTTTCCAGGTGTTTCTGACATAAGCTAACATTTGAGAACCACTGTTCTACTATAGTCTATAGCCCTGAGCAGGACTTCTCCTAGTTGGATTTATATCAGTGCTTCTCAACCACTGGTGATTTTGCGCCCACCCCGCCCCACCGTGTACTTTTAGCAACATCTGGAGACATTTTTGATTGTCAGGTCTGGGTGGGTGTTGATGGCATCTAGTAGGATAGATGGCTGGACACCACTGAGCATCCTGTGATTCACAGGAAGCCTCCTCCCACACCAGAGAGCCAGCCCCAAATGTCAATAGTATGGAGGTCAAGAAACTCTGATTTAAGTCACTCAGAGAACAATGTGAACTCTTCCTCTAAAATTTTTTTCTAATGCTTTCATCAAAAACCATACCAAACAGTTAATAATTATTACCTACTCCATTTTAAAGTGCTATGTTGGAAGAAAAATTCTTGGTTTTGACTGTTAGATACCTGAAGGGATCCAATCACCATTTAATCAAATGTCCTCCCTTGGCTAAAGTATGACATCAACGTTTTTTTTTAAACTTTTTGTTTGAAAATAATTTAAAACTCAAAAAAAATCCCAAAATACAAGAAACACTTGTATTCTCCTTACCCAGATTAGTTTATTGTTAACATTTTATCTCATTTACTTTATCATATGCATGCATACCTGCTCTCTGTTTTTTCTGAACCATTACAGAGTAAGTCACATACTTAATGGCTCCTTACCCCCAACTACTTTAGTGTGTATTTCCTACAACTAGAGATATTATCTTACATAACTAGAGTGTGATCACATTGGTACAATATTTAAACTATCCTCCATATTCCAGTGTTGTCAGTTTATCTAATGATATCCTTTGTAGTTTTTTTTCCTCCTGTCCCACTAAAGTTATTCTACAAAAGAATAACTTTTAAAGACAAACAGACATAAGAACAAGAACTTCAATATTCTTGGCACCTGGAGATAACTCCTGGAATACAATGGGTTCTCAGTAAATTCTTGTTGAAAGGAAAAGAAGTGATGGGAGCAAAAATGGGAATTGGAAACTATACGGTTGGTAGTGATAGCTGAGCAGCCTCAGGAGACCAGGTTTGCTGGGAGATGGCAGGCAGAAGACCTTCACCAAAGGGTCCCGCAGCAGGGTTTCACTTACTAGTCCAAATTAGGTCACATGCAAACCCTAGGTAAAGGGGTAGTATGGGGTCTAGAGGTGCCTTAGCAAATTTTGATTTTTGCCTAAAGCTGGACATATTGCCAGAACATAATCAGATTTTGTTAGCAAAAAAACAAGGGGAGTCAAGGTTTATTCAGTAGATAATATTGTGTTGCTATACAGGTATCAACAGAATTTCCTTCTACATTCTTTCTCAGGAGGCTACTGGAGGATTCCTAGAGCATAAACCAAGGAGGAAGGGAATCTAACATGGGAGAGAGATGGAGGATGGCAGCTGTGTAGTAGGCCCAGAAAACAGCCTGTGTCATGCTGTTCAGTCTGATAGCCATTAGCCACGGTGGCTGTTAAATACTTGTGATGTTGCTGCTAGTACACCAGAGGAGTGGAATTTTAAATTTAATTTAAATGAAAATGTGAAACAGTATTTAATTTAATTTAATTTAAATGAAAACCTGAAACCTTTTCATTAAATAGAATCTTAAGTAAATTAAAATTACTAAACAAATGCATTGTTAAATATTTTAATGCATAAACTAGATATTAGAATTTTATACAAAACATGTAAAACACTTTTGTTAATGTGCCCACTAGAAGGTTTAAAATTACATATTTGACTCACATTATATTTCTGCTGGACATCGCTGATACAGATAATAGAAGGAGGATGGAAAACTCTATGAGGAATCATTCATTCATTCAAATATTTACTGAATGCCTGCTGTATTCAAGGCATCATACCAGGTGCTTTAGTGGGAAAAATAGATTAGGTAAGACTTTTGCCCTTATAGGGTTAATATTTTTGTGGGGAGAGATAGACAACAAACTGTAAAATAAGTTACTCATGTGGTATATTAGAAAGTACAAAGGGGAGAAAGGAGAAGATGCTGGTGAGGAGGCTCAGGAGTGTGAAGGGAGGGACAGACTGCAATTTTAAATGAAATGGTGAGGATAGGCCTCATGAGAAGGTGAACTTTGAGCAAAAAATTAATGGCCATTAGGGGGTTAGCCATCTATAATCCAGGGAAAGTTTTCCAGTTCCAGATAAAAGGAGCAGCCAGTGCAAAGGAACTAAGTCAGGAGTACACCTGAAACTTGTTTGAGGAACAGCAAGGAGACCAATGTGGCCAGACAACAGTGAAGAAGGGAGAGAATAGTGGGAGGTGAGGGCAGAGAGGTAATGCGAGGCATGTAGGCCACTATAAAAAAAAAAAAAAGTAAAATGGGAAACCACAGCAAGGTTTTGGTTAGAGGATAGACCTGACCTGGCTTAAAAAGGATCATTCTGATGACCATATTGAGAATACACTGTACATTGCAAGGTAAAGGTAGAAGCAGGGAGACCAGTTAAGGTAATTGTGGTGATCCAGATAAGAGATGGTTATATCCTAGATACAGTTTAAAGGAAGATCCAGCAGGATTTGCTGGTAGATTGGATATACAGTATGAGAGAATAAGTAGACCCTGACCTGAGATTCCTGACTGAGCAACCAGAATAACGGAGTTGTCATTAACTGAGACAGGGAAGACTAAGGATAGAGCAGCGTTGGGGGAGGGGTAGTTGGGAGTTTGGTTTTGGACATGTTGAGTCTGTTAGTCATTTCAGAGAAGAGAACATTGGCAGATGGATATACAAGTCTATGGTTCAAGGAAGAGGTCTGGCTGGAGATAAATATTTGGTAGTGTTCAGCATATAGAAGGTATTTAAACTGTGAGACAGGATGAGCACTTGAAAAAGAAGAGAAGAGGACCAAGGATCAAGCCTTGGAGCATTTCCATGTTGAGAGATCGAGAGGCAAAGGAAGCTGAAAAGGTTCAGTGACGTAGAAGGAAAATCCAGGAGTGTGGCTTGGAAGCCAAGTGAAGAATGTGTATCAAAAGACAGTGATCGACTGTGTCAGATATTGTTCCTGGAAGTCAAGTAAGGTAAAGACAAAACTGATGCTTGGGTTTAACATGGAGGTCATCAGCCTTGACAAGAGTACTTCCAGTAGAGCCAAGAGGCAAAAACCTAACTGGATTGTTTCAAGAAGGAAGGGGAGAAAGAGTAATTAGAAACAGTGAGTATAGACAAGTCTTTCAAAGTTTTGCCACAAATGGGAGCAAAGAAACAGGATAGTAGCTGGTAGGGGAAATAGGGTCAAAAGGTTTCTGTTTCATTTGATACAGGACCAAAGAAATGGCATGTTTGAAGGGAATGGTCCAATAGAGAGCAGAAAGTTAATAATGTAGGAGAGTGGAGTGGAGGGGGGATTGGTGAAACAATGTCTTTGGGTAGATGAGAGGGAATGGAATCTTATAGAATGAGAGAGGAGAATGGCTTTATATAGACTGACAGATCATCTGTAGCAATGAATAGGAGGGTGGAGTATATGTAAGTGCATGCACTGTACATATGGTGGTCAGAGTCTGTGGAAGTTTTTCATTGAGGAGAAAAATGTTTATAAGCCAAGAGTAAGGATTGGAAGAGGAGATGTAATGATTTGAGGAGAGAAGAAATTGTGTCATTTAGGAAAGTGAGAATAAATTGGGGAAGTATAGTTGGATTCTTAGCAACTTTAAAGGCACATGGGGGTTGTAGTTAGGAATTTGTAAGGCTGTGGTTGTGTTCTTCCTAGCTGTGGATGCAGGTGTGGTTAATGGAGAACCACACCTGCATCTAATTGGATTTAGCCAGTGTTGTGGTTGTGCCAAATAATTTTGAGCAAATGAGAGAGGGACAAACAAGGGAATCAGAGGTGTGGTTTTAATGACAGACCTTGGTGTCAGTCAGTCCTAAACTGGATAGGAGGACAGAGGACTTTAATTTGGTGAGGGATGTCTCAGAGAAACAGAAATGAAACTTGTCAACTCCTGATCTGTTTGAGAACAGAACAAATTCTTTCAAGGAATTTGGAAATAGGTATATAGAAAATGAAGAAAAGAAAGCAACTACTAACTCTAAAGAAAGAAAAAAGTTGAATGCATGGATGTCTACTAATGTCTGTAAATATTTATATAATTATAACCATGTAAACACTGGTTATTAAGCCAAAAAAATGTAATAAAAGTATATCAGAAAGATATGGTAATAAGAGTATATCCGAAAGATGAGAATAGTGTATGTTGGGAAGAAGCGGGCCTGGCAAGATGAAATCAGAGAACCAAATCTTTATTTTCCATAAAAGGAAGTCAGAAGAATGTAGACAGCAGAAAAAGTGTGGCTACCAGAACGAAACAGGTTGGATTTGAAAGGGGCTGCCTCTGGGGTTGTAAGAATCAGGAATGGGGAGGGTGGGGCGTGAAAATTTTGTATTTGAACATGAGTTTTATGGGGAAGTTGGATCTGTAAATTTTGTGTGTGTGTGTGTGTATATAGATATACACACACATTACATATATGTGTGTATATATATATTCCTCTGAAAGAATATTAAAAATATTTCTCTTAAGTACTACTAGTATTAAATCTGGGGAAAACTTTGTGAATGAGTTAGTATTTGAATGAAGTCTTAAAGGGTAAGATGATATTGGTTAGGTTGGAGAGCAAGAAAAGAGTATATGAGTCAGGATGAAGAGAATGAGGAAGAAAAACAGATCGGAAAATGACAAGGCATTCTTAGGGACAATTGAATAAGGCAGTTAGCTAGAGAAGAGAGACAGTAGCACCAGTTATAGTTTTAGGTTGCACTTAGGTTATATAAACACTCAAAGCCAGGTGGTGGGAAGAAATTAGTTCTTGAGCAGGCAGATAATGAACAAATTAGTGCTTAAGGAAGATTCACTATGGGCATGTCAACTTAAAGGGAAGTAGCTGTGCTGTCCTGTAAGTGTGGCAATTGATGGAGCAGAAGCATGAAAGGTATGGGAAGACTAGGTGGGAGAAATATGGAGAAGGCATGATCAGTGGGGTTTTATGAGTAAATGTGTGAATTGAGGTGGGGGAAGGCTCAGGTAATTCTTGCATTTTGATTTTATTTGGGAGAGATATGGTATCATTTCTAAATTTAATTTTTAAAACGAAAGAAATGGAGAAAGGTATTCAGTGTTTTGTTGAAGGATAAATGAGACAGTCTTGACGGTGATGAGCCAAAGGACGTGCTTGAGATCTTCTGCATCAGTTAGAAATACAGAATTGAGCTCAGCAGAGAAGTGTAATGTATATGTATGTGTGTGTACATATGTACACACACGCACATATGATCTGCCTGTATGTTTTCAAGCCACAAAAGTAGATGCGATCATCAAGGCAGGCAGCCTGTAGAAGAGCTCAAGAAAGTGTAGAGTCATAACAATGGAGAATACTCAATTTTTGAGGTAGTTGGAAAATTAAGAATACTTAGGGATAAAGAAAAGTAGACAGGAAAAAGGAAAAACCAGGAAGGGGAATTTTCAAGGAGCAGTGTTAGGGCAACACTGTCAAACTGCTGTAGAGCAATATAGGAGAAAAAATGATTTTTAAAAATAATCTACAATTTTTAAACTGTAATTCTAAGGCAATTTATTATTTTTTTTCTAAGGGAAGAATTTAAATCTATTCAGTGTGGAAGTTCTGATGATTTCAGGAATACAGTAGAGTAAAAGAAGCAAAACCCAGAGTGTGTGGCAGAAATAATGTCAATCATGCTTTCAGACTTTTCTAGTTGGAAGAAAAGGTTGAGAAACTGCTAACAGCTTGAAAAGACATAGGTTCAGCAAAAGTTTTGGGGTTTTTTAGATGTGAGAACATTGTACATGTTTGTATTCTAGAAGAGTAATGCTGCTGAGCAGGGCAAGGGGGATTGAGAGAGCAGAGGGGCTGTGGGAACAGGAGACCGAAGGAACAGCCACGAAAAGCAGCATTTCACTCCTCCATGGCAGGAAAAGGAAATGGGAAAAATGGCAAAGTAAATATTTACACATTTCTTACCTAGGAAGATAGAATGACTAAAAGGTCTAAATTGCTTAGAAGGAATGGACATTATTTCCTTTACAGGAAAGAGCCAGAGTGGTGGTAGAGAGTTTGAGAGCAGGTGTATCCGCTATTGCTGCATAACAAACCAGTCCTAAATTTCATGTTTAAAACAGTAATAAAAGCATTTTATTCCTCACAGTTCTGTGTGGTTCACAGATCTAGGTGGTGGTTCTTCTGGTCTTGGCTGGACTCACTCAGGAGACTACAGTGAATGAGTCTAAGATGGCCTCAGCAGGGCAACTTGGCACTTCTACATGGTGTCCCATCATCCAGACTTGCTGTCTGGTGGCAGTATTCTAAGAGAGTGCACAGAAGCTTGGGAGGCCTCTTAAGGCTTTGTCTCAGAGCCTAGCATGGTGTCATTTGTGCCATTTTCTGTTGTCCTAAGCATGTTTCAAGGCTAGCTCATAGATATTCTTGAAGGGAGGAAATAGATGCCATCCTTTACTTGAGGGAGGAATTTCAAAGTCCTACTTAGGGAATAGAGATGTAGAGAGAGCTGGGGACTGGGACCATTTTTGTAATACTGCAGGAAAGGCTAGAAATGGGTGCACTCTGCATGCAGAGAAGTTTGATATCGTGGATATGCTGAAATTGTCTATGTCCTGCATTTTGTAATACATGCAAGATACAGATCTCTTAACCGTTTAAATACTGGATTTTGTTATCTTCTTTATTAGTATATTCTCTTTTTCCCCCCTTTGGAAGGTTGGATAATACATTAGAGGAAATTATATTTAAGCTGGTCCCTGGACTACGAGAACGTAAGTTGCTTTTCGGCTTCTTGCAGATTTTTGTGTTCTATGAAGTCAACATTTCTACTAAAGATTTTATAATTGTTTCTATTATTTTATACTTCCTTTTTCTTTTAAATTAGAGGAACTTGAGCGTGAATCTGAATTTTGGAAGAAAAATAAGCCTCAAGAAAATGGACAAGGTGACTTTCTTACGTCTATATCTGATACTCTCTTAAAGTGGTTAACTTTTTGTAGATTTGGTGAATTAATATCACGTTAAGCTCAGATTTCTCTTGTATAAAATTCATGTAGCCCTTTTTTTACATTATGATCCTTTTGTATAAAATCATGTGATTTTATATACATCTGTGTAAATCTGGAGTCACACCAATTGAAAGCAATTGGAAATAGAAAAAATTAGAATTGGGAAAGAAAAAAAAGAGAAAACTGACTACTCATTATAACAATATTTGCTGGAGAGCTAAAGGAAATTGAAGTAAGAAATAGCCAGGGTCTGCAGCTAAACCCTGAGGGGGTTTTCTATTTATTTTATTTTGTATGTTTGCCTTATTGGAGAAGGAACCAAGATGTAGCTGAGTGCCAGATCAGGAGATCTGTCTATGCTATGATAATCTGGAATTATATTTTTATATGTGGAACTCAGACTATACAAATTTATATGTCCTGGGAAATGAAAAATATTTCTAGATTCTTATGGGAATTTTCTCCATCACTTAAACTGAGTGTCCATATTTCTCTTCTGGGTCCCAGGAGACTCCACCATCAGTAATTTTTAATAGTCTCAGCAAAGTGGCAAACATTACTGGGCAGAGAAAAGGCTTTTAGTATGTATAATTCACACAATAGAAAAAAAAGTACAACATATCTGAAATAATAAAGAAGAATATGCTTTTCCTACTGTTACTTAATATGAGATTTATTTCGGGATAGCCTAAATACCATTGAAATCTTTTAAGGATGTATACATGTTTTTATAGGCTCATTGTGAGCTCAGTCTTCACCCTTAAGATCATAGGATTATCAGTTATAAATCAAGATGCTGTCTCTTTTCATCTGTAAACTAAGGATGATAGTTTTAACTAGTTCAACTTAACAGTTCAAGGCTGGCTTCTAATAGCAGGGGAAGTTTGAGAATAGTTTTCAATTATTGGAATAAGGTAGTTAGGGATTATCTTTTTATCTATGACAACAAACAAAATGGGCAAAGAAGCCAAGCCTGACAAAAAAATGATTTCACTAAAGACTTGTTTTACCCAAGTGTAAGTTGCAATTTAGACAGTAGTGCTATAATTTTATGTATAGATAATATAAAGTTTACTGTATGTTCCAATTTTTTACTGTCTTTTCAAGAGAACAGGAAACCAAGAAATTGTCAGTAGAAAATATATAGTAGGTTTAGTCCATGACTCTGTGTATCGTATAGATGGACTCATGAAGGAGTATAGCCTACTTTGTGTGTATCTCTCTTTAACCATATTTCTCCCTTTTTAAAGTATTTTATAATGTTTAGTTTGGGTAGAGAATTTGAATCTTTTCTTGGTGCTGGGAGTTTGGTTCATAAAAGGAAGCTCCTGTCTATGTGGATTCTATATAAATATATAGAAGAAAGAAATCAGGGACCCCTGGGTGGCTCAGTGGTTGAGTGTCTGCCTTTGGCTCAGGTCATGATCCTGGGGACCTGCGATCAAGTCCCGCATCAGGTTCCCTGCAGGATCCTGCTTCTCCCTCTGCCTATGTCTCTGTGTCTCTTATGAATAAATAAATAAAATCTTAAAAAAAAAAACGCACAAGAAAGAGAACCCACCTGCCCTCTATAATACAACTGTAATGCTTTTATTAGGCATTAAAGAGGAGCTAACCTGTCATTCCTTTTTTCTGGGATTTTCTGTACCATAATGCTTGACTGGCTAGTTCTTTCAAGTTTCAGCTTAGAGATATTCTATCTGAAAATCTTCCCTGAATCTCTGCTTCACCGAGAGTTTGGATACCTCTCTTATATGTGCCCACATAGTCTATTTTTACCTCTTCCATCAGAGTCCTTATTATACTTCCCATCGGTCTGTTTTCTTTACTTGCCTGTATCTCCCTCCTCCTGTATCCTGACCACTGTGAGGATGAGGGTGATAACCCTCTAGTTTCAGTATTCCCTCAAGTGTATCACAATGCATATCAAACACAGAGTTAAAGGGACTCCATAAATAAATGAATCAGCACATGGAGTTGTATTATACATAGGCTGCAGGTATTTTGTAGGTTAAATACATTCGTACATAACAAAGCATGTGATTCAGATTTCTTTAATGGATTTAACATGTTACATAGCTACATACAGGTTTGAAAAGCTAATTCTCATATTTCACTAGCTGATTTTGTGAATATATAATAATTTGAAATTTTGAGAACTCAGTATTTGATACTTTAAAAAGAGTACTTGGTTTCCAATTTGAATATATATAGAATTTGGAATATTTTTATATCCTGTCTACTTTCTAAGTGGTCTAATCACTAATTGCAATCATTTTTGTGGCCAGATATAGCTAGTCCTGAATCATTCATTGGCCAGTGAGCCTAGAAATTTTAGGTTATGTTAGTAAGTCACTGATGGCTTTTTAAAAATATTTCCATTATTGAGTTGGTTGGAACATTTTAAAGATACTAAAATTTTCATTTATTCTTCATCAAACCAAAAATGTTTAAAATTCTTAACTTGATGATTTGCTCGATGATTAATATACTGTTGCTTAACCTTAAAATCTACTTTGAGTTACATCTAACTTAGTTCCGTTTAAATTATACAGATGATACTTCAAAAGTTGACAAACCTAAAGTAGATGAAGAAGGTGATGAAAATCAAGATGATAAGGACTATCACAGAAGTGACCCACAAATTGCTATATGTCTAGATTGTTTACGAAATAATGGACAATCAGGGGACAATGTAGTAAAGGTGAGTGGACAAGCACAGTTATATTTTTTATAATCACTTCATAGTAAATTTTTGATAATTTGTTGATGAATTTTAGCTAGTGTTGGCTTTCAAAATTTTTATTAACATAATCAAGTAGAATGCTATTCTCTGACAGCCCTGTAGCTACGAATGACCAGTTACTGACACCTGATTTCCAGCCCCCACAACTGAACAGTCCTGGGCCAATGCCACCACCTAGTGGCTAATTCCAAGAATCACCCCATCCATTTTTCTGTCACCTTTTATACCTTTGTTGGGAATTCATATACATTGTTTCTCCCTGTTTATGTGTGATAACCAGTTCAGACTCACATCATTACATCACATGATGGGCAGTGTCTCCCAACTGTTTCATTCCTCCTCTCCTCATTTTTGTTTTTCTATTTTTATTTGCAACTCAAAAAACTGTCCATGTCATGGCTAATACAGTTTATAAATAACTGGTTTTGAAGTAAAATTAAGTGTCCTAAAGTACCTCTAACTTCAAAAGTCTTGAAGTCTCCCACATATTTCCTGTAGAATCCCCACTTCTAATCCTGTTTCCCTTTGTATGTACTTGCTATTTCAACCTTATTGTGAACAATCTATATAATAGTTTAAAACACCTTGTTCACTTTAATTTATCCTCTTTGGTCTCTAAATGGTGTTATTTAAATAATGTTTTCTGCCTTTTTTATTGCAAGCAGCTTCCCTTTTCATTATAAATGTTCACAACTTTAGCTCTTGAATGAAATTTTTGTCAACGATTGAAAATATTGTTTTTCTCTCTATATTCCATGTTTTATATAAATACCCATACTCAGTGTCTCTTATTTTCTTTTACTTCCCTTGTAAAATATGTGAGTGGGTTGAATTTTTCACTAATACATTTAATGATATTTTCCTATTAGGAAATTAAGAACAAATAATTTTTCAACTCAGAATAAGTTTTCCTAGCATCTTACAACAAAGAATATAAAGGAGTATAGTGATTCAGTAAAGAGATAAGTAATAAGAAAGAATTTACTCACTCAAGGAACTTTAAGCAGGATTTTTCCATAAAACAGTTATGAAAAAAAGTAATTTAGTTAAGAGGTGGTTAGACAAGGCGTGTAATAAACTGCAGCAGTCTTTAGAGACATGGCCATGGGACCTATTTGTTTTTCCAGGCTTCTCTTGTTTTTTTTTTTTTTTTTTTTTATGCTCTTTCCTTTTTGTCTTTTTTCAGTGTCTTTAAAAATCTTAATCTCTTATTGCCAGTCATTTCTGTAATCCTCTTTCTAAGAGATTGTTCTTAATGGAGATTGTGATCATCCTTTAGCTCTCTGATACATGAGTTACTATCTTATAAATTGTATGTTGTATCTTGAAAATTCAGTCAGTAGAAAAGCTGAATATCTTTTCATAAATAAATATGAAGTCTCCTTCCTGTAGAATTTCTAGTATTAAAGTTATGATTCTGAAAAATTACTGCTTCCTTGATATTCTCTTGACCTTTCTGATGCTTCACCATTCCAGTTGACCTTTTATCCATTCACTCTTTCCTTTATAAACTTTTCTTCATCCTTGTGCCTTCTATTCATAAAACAATTTTCATAGCTTTTAGACTTCTACTTTGCTACCCTGTTTCTCACCTTTTTTCTCTGGCCATTCCTGTGCTGTCTCTCCTTCTTCCCGGCTTCTACTTGATATATGTGAATATCTCATAATACCTAGCCTTCCACTCAATTATTCTCTCTCTGGATTTATCCTAGGAGGTCGCTTCTATTTTCTGTGACTTAAACTCTGCAAAGAACTTTTTAATTTTTTCTTATTTTTTAGTGTTCTTCTTTTTTTCTTTTTTTTTGTTTTTTGTATTTTTTTTATTGGAGTTCAATTTGCCAACATATAGTATAACACCCAGTGCTCATCCCATCAAGTGCCCCACTCAGTGACTGTCACCCAGTCACCCCATCTCCCCGCCCACCTCCCCTTCCCCCTACCCCTTGTTCGTTTCCCAGTTAGGAGTCTCTCATGTTTTGTCACCCTCTCTGATTTTTTCCACTCATTTTCTCTCCTTTCCCCTATGATCCCTTTCACTAATTTTTATATTCCCCATATGAGTGAAACCATATGATGATTGTCTGCAAAGAACTTTTAAGTCCCCATTTCCAACGCTGCCATCACGCCCAAGTTGAAGAAACCTACTTTTTAAAGATCTTAGTTGGAAGTTTTAGTAACACCTGAAACTTAACATGTTTAAAGACAAATTCATTATACTTTTACCTAACTGTACTCCAAACTTGCTATTTTGTGGTTATCACTACAATCTTTGTACCAATCGTACAAGTTCAAAACCTTGGAGTCATCTTTGACCTTTTACTGTTTTTCTCCAACTAGCCGTAAGTCCTGAAAACTTCCCCTCAGTCTAGTGCTGCTCACCTTGTACAGATTTTTCTGAGCAGTCTCTTTATTATCCAAGGCTGAGGCTACAGCCTGAATGTATGGGCCAGAGTCATGGCCAACATCAGGGACAGATAGTAAATATTTCAGGCCCTATGGAACTCCCAACAAAGGTATAAAAAGAGAGATGAAATATGGTCACTGTTGCAACTACTCCATTTACTCATTATAGTGCTAATGCAGCCTTAGATAGTAGTGAATGAACTGGCTTGTGTTTCAATAAAACTTTACTTACAAAAATAGGTAATTCTGTCTTGAGGGCTGTGGCTGTAGTTTGCCACCTTCTGGCCTATAGAATCAAATCTTATGTTAGCATTCAGGGCCTTCCACTAACTAGCCCTATCTTGATAAGTTTATCTCCCATTATACCCATTGTTCTTGCCTCTTCTCTCCCACCATTTTGCTATGTATCTGTCAAAACTCAAGCAGAGACCTATTCTTTGTGATGCTTTTTCAAACCTAGTAAATCCCTTCTCTGAAATTCTGTAGGATTTGCATTTATACCTCAGGTGGTTATTAAGTCAGCATTATTGTATTTCTGAAGGTAGCAGGTACTGATACCGTCTTTTATCTTTTGGGGATATGTCTTATCCTTGAAACTAGATTGCAGACCTCTTCAAGGCAATGAAACCATGTCTGTGTTTCATTACAGCCTTTTCAGGCATCTCAATTCTCTGCAGTAGGGTGTGATTCTCAAATGTGGTGGTGTACTTGCATGTACAGTTTATACAGTGTACTTACTACTTTTGTAATTCCAAAAATCAAAATCAGAAGAGGAAGGCAGTGAAAATAGTACCATAAAGCCCTTCAAAAATTCACTCCTCCATAAAAGCAATGAAAAAAAAAAAAAAACCCACCTCTCAGAATCAACTTTTTCAGAAATTGGGTAATTAATCAAAGACCTGCAGGGATCCCTGGGTGGCACAGCGGTTTAGCGCCTGCCTTTGGCCCAGGGCGCGATCCTGGAGACCCGGGATCGAATCCCACGTCGGGCTCCCGGTGCATGGGGCCTGCTTCTCCCTCTGCCTGTGTCTCTGCCTCTCTCTCTCTCTCTCTCTGTGACTATCATAAATAAATAAAAATTAAAAAAAAAAAAGACCTGCAGAAACCCATAGAGCATTTGATCAAGAAAATGGTGTGAACGGTGAGGTTTGTGGCATTTTAACTTGCCTTAGTCCAATCTCCCACTCTCCAGCTCTGGAGTAACCTTGAAAAAGAACAGCCAACTTTCCCACTATAGCCTTTCAGGCACCGAAGGGCATAACAGGTGGAACTATTTCAAAGCTTAATTGGCCAAATAATTATTTTTATTTGACCTGTCTGGTAGTCTTTGGAACACCTCACTTATGAGCTGGCTGTATTAGACCTGACATGGAGATTGACCAGTAGAAAAAGATTCTGTCAGCTGGGAAGGGCAGAACATTTTTCAGAGCCAATTACAAATATTTGAACTCCATGGCTGTCTGAGGTATAGATAATATTTCGGGCAAACAGTAGAAACAGTAGACAACCAAAAAGCTTAAAAGGAAAAGCTGGTGAAAAAGATGTCTGTAGATATCAAAGTCTGTAGGGGCTTTGAAAAGCTCTAACATATTGCTGGGAATCTCCAATTCCAAGAATATACATAGGACTGTGTACGTGCTCAGGAAAGACCTAAGTACGCCTTAAGCTCTCACCTCTTGCTGACCTTGAGGTTCTGCATAAGCAGGATATGAGATTAAGGCAGAGTTGTCAATAACCTGTTTGAGTGTTGGAGGTGTGCCCCAAAATACATTGTCTCTTAGCAAAGACTGGGAGATTTATTGGTTCCAAATGTACAAGGAAATCTCTGTTCAGTCACTTGCCAACCAGTGGGTGGAAACTTCAGTGGCCACATATTGTAAAGAATGCAGGCTTCATAGAATTAGTTTAGAAAAGTCACTAAACAAAGAAGAACAACAAGATACAGCCACAGTAACAAGCCCTAAGAGGCATGTGGGAACCTGATTTCCATTGCTGCCACATTATATTATTTTAAATGTCAAGTTTCAACAAAAAAATTATGAGAAAAATCGAATTAAAGTATAGCTCATAAACAGGAAAAATAGTCAATTAAAACTGTCCCTGAAGAAGTCTAGACATTGGACCTATACAGATTTTAAATCCTCCATTTTAAATGTGTGCAGAGAACGAAAAGAAACCATATGTAAACTTTTAAATGAAAGTGTAAGAACAGAAGAGAGATGAAGGCCATACAGGATCCTGAGCTCACCATGTCCCACAGAACACACCAAAGCAGCAACTACATCTGTTGCAACTAACTCTAAAAATGACCTCAAGAGGGATCCCTGGGTGGCGCAGCGGTTTGGCGCCTGCCTTTGGCCCAGGGCGCGATCCTGGAGACCCGGGATCGAATCCCACGTCAGGCTCCCGGTGCATGGAGCCTGCTTCTCCCTCTGCCTGTGTCTCTGCCTCTCTCTCTCTCTCTGTGACTATCATAAATAAATAAAAAAAATTAAAAAAAAAAAAAAAAAAGAAAAAGAAAAAAAAAAAAAAAAAAATGACCTCAAGACTGGCAG